TAAAAAGGTGAACGTCCATATCCTAACTATAGATTCCGCTGCGTTAGGATTTATTTCGATAAAGTTCAATACTGTGCATGTTGTTTGACGTTCCTAACAGAACCCAACACAAATGTGGAAGTTAATGGGGTTACAGCTGCAGAGAAACAGGTTGGCCTAATGGACAAACAAAATAAATTAACAAACTAACCTTTGAAACCGGCCCATAAGGTGTTCGACAAAATGACACAAAGGAAACCCGACTCTCTAAAGAAGTTCTCGGCTCTCTTTTTCGACAACTGCAAGCCTTTTCTTGGCCTCAAATTACACTACATTCCACCAGACAATGGAGTGGATCTTGATGATGATGATGACCTATTGTATGTGACGAGTACTTGGGGCTTTTGCCTTGTCGGATACTTTACCCAAAGGCACCCGGGCAAGGCGGCATTGTTGAACCTTTGCAACTCATGGGAAGTACAATATGAATAGATCCCTAATGTCAATGGATGGATTGTCTTCAGTTCAAAAACAAAGAAGATAGAGAAAAGGTACTTCAAGGGGGGCCCTACTCTATTTACGGTCGAGGGCTCATCCTCAAAGTGCTCCCCAATTGGTTCCAATTCAGTGAAGACGACATCAAAACCGTCCCCGTTTGGATTAATCTCCCCTTCATCTCATGGGAATGTTGGAGCACCAAGGCCCTAAGCAAGATAGCCTCTTCCTTCGGTAGGCCCATCACTATCGACAAACTCATGGCTATAAGGGACCGATGCAACTACACTCAGATTTTGGAAAAGAAACTTTAAGATGCTTGGCTTTAGCCTTGAAAAGGATGCCACTTGGAAAGCAGGCTCTATCTTACGATGACGAGAAAGATCTTACATTTATTGGGTTTGTATGCTTTCTCTTCTGTTTGGACCATACATTGAATTGTCTCTATTTTTACTTATTTTATATATTACTTCGCCATTGTTGTCTATAAAAATATTGATGGTTCTAAAATTTGTTTTGTTATTAATGGGTCTTTTTTGTTGATTATCTGTCTTCATATCTCTTCACTTTGGCTTTTGTTTAATCCTTTTATTGTCAGTTGAGTGTTCTTTTAGTTGATGCCGCATCTATTCGATAATGTAAAGGTTGGCATGCTTGATCCACCGAGGGAGGAAGTAAGAAATGCTATTCTTTCTTGTATGACTGCTAGGATACGTGTCATAGTTGTTACTGGAGATAACAAGGTAAAGACAATGATATCGCTTGTTCAATTGCCATCTTTCTGAAATTTCTGCTTTGGAGCTGTCAACTTCCTGTAGGAAACTAACTCATTTGTTTTGGAATTGTGATGTACATATAGATCACTGCAGAATCATTGTGCAAAAGAATTGGTGCCTTTGATCACATGGATGATTTTGTCGGGCTTTCTTATACTTCCTCGGAATTTGAGAACCTTCCTGCATTGCAGAAGACAATTGCCTTGCAGCGGATGTCAATTTTCACACGGTATTATGCATGTTCCTTTTTTCGCTTTTGGAAAGCTCCCAATATTGATTTGCAGGGTTCTCATTATGAGCATAGCTTTGTTTACACAATTATAAAATTCTGTGCCAGGGTGGAACCATCTCACAAGAGGATGCTCGTTGAAGCATTGCAGCACCAAAATGAAGTGGTAAACCTTTGCACAGTTTTATGTACGGCGGAGCAGTCATCACATTTTCGTGATATTCAATTTTATATTGCAAGATTGTTACGTAGTGGCAACTCATGCAATATTCTTGTTCCTCTCTTTGCATTGTGCTCTTGTTGAATTGTGACTGGTCTAAGATGTCGAGCATTTTCTGGGATGAAATATTCTTGCTGTTAGTATGATTACTAAAAAATAACTTCAATATAGTTACTTCAAGCTTGTTTACTTTATCAGTATTCTCTTGAGTTGAAAAATCTGAAGAAACTTTTGGATTAATTGCTAAATAAACCTTAACCTTTTTGCGTTTGGCAATTGTATCTCAACCTTTGGGTAATTGCAATATAATATCTACTTCAATTTACATATTGCAAGTCGAACATAAAATCAGTTGAACTTTCGAAAAGCTGGTTGATTTGAAGGCGGTTCATACAGATTGGAGCTCATATTTACCGGTTCACTCCAGATCTAGGAGGAGACTCATCACCGGTAGCTTACATTGTCGTGGAATTTTTGGCTTTTTGCGTGGATATACATTAAATACGTGAAAATTGTCAACTTGCTACATGGATGACATAAAAACCCGTGTCAATGGAAGACTTGGACACAAAATCGATCCACAAATCCCTAAAATCAATCACTCTGCACCCAAATTTGTAATAAGTAAATGAGGTCGGGATTATATTGCAATTACCCAAAGAAAGGGATAAAATTGTCAAACGCAAAAAGGTTAAGGTTTATTTAGCAATTAACCCGAAACTTTTTTACTACATGGAAAAGAAATAAGGGATTTTCAAATTCGATTAATGTAGGTTGAACTTCTTCATCAATTATTTAAGCGTTAACTTCTGCCCTTTTACAATCTTTATTATTTGATTTACCCGATATGTTGAAATTTTTGAAATTTTTTATGTGAAACCCTAATCTACTGGAACATAACTCCATCCAAATTTTGATACAACTTCAGTTCTGGAAGTTCAAAAGATTTATTAAGATAAACTAACATTGAATTCAGAAATGTGCACAAATTTACCAGCGCCTCTTTCATTTTTTGAAAATTTTTATGCTTATGTTCAATTATTGCAAAATTTGCCAAGGTAGTTTAAGACAGCTTAGCCTAGATATAGTAATGCTGAAAGGTTTGTGGCAACTTGTTCCACATTTTCAACATTGAATTACATGGTCACAGTAGTTCAATTTCTACGTTATGAGTAATTATTTCAGTCCATCTTAGCTCTCTCATTACCAAAACTTGATCATTCTCAAGGTTGCAATGACTAGAGATGGAGTCAATGATGCACCTGTTAGAGGTATGCTGTAAAAGCTGTGTTTTGCAGTTTCTATCAATTCCATTTTGATCTGGCAATCATGTTTCGGTCAAAGTACATATGTTTGCAGTTTATTTAT